CTTAATTGCAATTTTAAAATAACCTCATAATTGGACCTCACACATTCTTTCTTACATTTTCCAGAGTGAGTCATAGTGAGTGTTAAGCGCTAAGGCAGATCATTGTATCCCCCCATCTGAAATATTTAAAAGACTCCCTGCTGCCTTAAAAATAATAGTTCGGAAAACACCAACTCCGACCTCCATGTTCTGATCCTCGCCTCTGTCAACTCCCACTTTGGCCCTTCCCTGTGTTTACTATGTTTCTACCGTAATGTCATAATGAACACACAGCTGTATGAAGTCAACACACGCTCTTGTCCCTTAGGACAGACACAAAATATCATAGCACATTAAAGTGTTAATTCTATTTCCATATGAAATATTAGTCTACAGATAAGTTCCTATGTACTATGTGACCAAATAAATAGTGATTACCAACCCCCAACAGGCACGCACACTCAAGCACACTCACATATACACAGAAGTCCCAACTAATTGATCAAGCCTGTCAAAGCAAAATAAATTACCAGTTACCACCGCTCTATCAAACCCAACTGACAAGGCCAGATTAGAACAGAAAAGCAGTGTGACTAAAACCAGCCATTGAAAATTGAATGCGCTGACATTAAAACAATTATGTAAATTGGTGCTTGGAAGTGACTTATACAGATAGGCTCTATAGTATGACTGTCAGTAACCAGATGCCAAGTTGACATTTTATGCTGCTACTATGGGGAAATGGGGCCAAGAGAACGTTAGCTGAACCACAGTAGTTTTGCAAAAAAATCATATAATGAAGAAAAAGTCAAAGAAAGTGAAGAAGTTTTCTCCCCTTTCCGAACATAAGTCATTCTCTTGAGGTTAAAAAAAGAACTTTTTTTTGGTTTACTAACTTTATTATAGACATAGCTATTCTGATCATCTTATTTAGGAATATTTTTAATAACAGACTTCATAGAACTCCACTACCTTCACTGTCATCTCTTTTAGTAAAGCTACTTCATAAGTCTTTTCATAAATTGGAAGACAATAAATTAATCACTTAACTAATTAATTAATTTGCAGAGTATCCAAGGTGCTAACACTGCTACTTGTAAATGTATCAAAAGGTGGTCTGATTGTACCCCCAAATATAATTTTTGCTGTAGCCATGCAATCAAACTAATTGTAGTTTTTAAATTGGTTTCCACCCTGGCTGGTCTAGCTCAGTGGATTGAGTTCAAGCCTGTGAACCAAAGGATTGAGGTTTGATACCCAGTCAGGGCACATGCCTGGGTTGCAGGCCAGTTCCCAGCAGGGACTCATGAGAGGCAACCATAAGATATTTCTCTCCTTCTCTCCTTCCCTTCCCCTCTAAAAGATAAATAAATAAAATCTTTTAAAAAATTGGTTTTCCTCTCACATATAGCCCGAGACCGACTGGAACTGAATTGTCCCTTTCTTCATCAGCATTTCAGAGAATTATAATGATTATTATAAGATGTCATAAAACCACAACCATTTACAATGTGGATTCTCATGCAAACACAAAATATAACTTCCTCCCTGTTTATTATCACCATTACTGTGTAGTAACATTTTAACGTATTCAGCATTATCTGAAATATGTTCCAAATTTCATTTGTTTGTTTGGAAAGAAGAAATGACAAAGAGAACAAAAAGAAAGGACTCTACCTAGCAACAGCCGTGTATGTATTCTTAAGTATGCATGAAACATTCTGTCAAGGTAGACCATAACCTGCAGGATAAAACAAACAGTACAGATTTAAAAAAATCAAAATCTTACAAAGTATATTCTCTTACCATAATACAATGGAATTAGAAAATGACAGAAAAATAACAAGGTGATCACTAAACACTCGGAAATTTAAAACCTATTTTAAGCAACGAATGTTTCAAAATGAAGTTTAAGGGAAATTTGAACATATTTTGAACAAAATTTTTTTTAATTATATATTTCAAGCAATGCATCCAATGAAATCATTCTAATCTATCATTTGCCACTTGTAAAAATAAAGAACAAAGGCCTCAAATCAATATTATAAGTCTTTACCTTATGAAACTGGAAAAAGAAGAGCAAAATAAAGAGCCAGTTTCTTACTGTGACTGGAGATATCTTTATTTCCTTGCTTTTTTCTATAAACTTTTGCTTCATATATTTGAAAGCTGTTATTAGGTGCATAAAACATTTGGTTTTGCAGTCTTTTTGATGAATTGATCTCTTTATTATGAAATGAACTTCTATAGATGTAAAACCTTAAAGTATTACAATTTTTTTGTCTACAAAACATCAAGTCATTATTTTTTTTCATTAAGTGCCGCCTAGCAGCTTCCTTTTTTATTTGAAAGAAGGCAGAAGACTGAAATGGCTGTGTTCACTAGTCTTGCTTGCCAAATGTTTCTGATGTTCCTTCTGGATCATATAGGAGAGCACTCCCTGGGCCCCTGTGTTGTGTGACGAATTCTGACCAATGCATTGCAAGCAGAAAGCATTATGCCATGTTAGGGAGAGGCCATTTAATTGCCAGCTAGAGAGACCGACCAGCATCCTTATTTACCTATGGCAGAGTGATTGACAGGTCAAAATTTTGGCTGTTTGCGCTGACTATAGTGAACACAGATCTTCTTGCTGACCAGTGGTGAATAAGCAGAAAAATTAAAGAATACTTGTTGTGTTGAGCCATTGGGCGTTGGTTAGAAGTACAGCATAATATCCTGACTGATATACTTAATACAAGTAGATACAAAACTCAGTAAAACAAAAAATAAAGCCATATGTTAGGTAAATTAACAAAATGACCTAAGGATTAATATATGCAAATACTTTCATCCAAACATTTTACTCCAATCTTGCAGTCCAAGAGTTTCAGTTTTATAAATGTGGGTTTTGACATTGTACTTAAAACTAAATTCAGCCTCACACAGTGAGAAAGAATGTTTTAGTGATGGTAAGAATATGAAGGTCTTAAGAACCTCAAATGCAATTTTACCTAAATGCCCACAGTGTAAATGTTGACATTGTACCATGAATAATAAAATATCTCACAAATAAGTCTTGTACTTATTTTATACATCTATAATTGAAATTTATTTTTAGCTTATTCCTATTGTTAAAAGAACCACTTATTTTTGTGTGTGAAACCAATGACATTTATAGAGATTAACTATGAAAGGCATGACAGTAAAGTAGGTTTAAAATAAACAATGCTGTTAAACTAAATATATTTTAAATCCCTCAGTTTAGTAAATGCCAATAAAGACTGTTGGAAAATGTGTGTGCATTGTTTTGGGAAAACATAGAAGATATGAGAAATTTTCTATTGAATTTATTTTCATTATTGTGAATGGTTTAGAGAATGTTTACATATTAATTTGTGGAGGGTTTTTGTCAACTTTTAAATGTCTGCATGATTTGTCATTTCTCTCAAGTAACTTTTTTTAAGAATGTAAATTACTTGTTTTGTCTTTCTTGTTCATTTAAAATTTGAAGCTCTTTTTATCCACTGAAATAAATCGTTGCTTAACTAAGAGATGTCCTCATCTCTGAACCATTCCAAAATTCCACATTAATTTTATGCAGATGCTCATTTTTAAATAATACAGCAATATGAAACACAATACTTATAGGCATTTCCATTCATACTTCTGTAAACAATGCAACAAATGTTTTGATGTATCTCTATTTCTCTTTGTAATTTTGGTACATATCTGTAACCATAAACATATAAATTGGTTTTTATTTTGCTTATTCAACACGGTTCCATATTACTACTTTGTCCTCATATTTAACAAATTTCCATTCTCAACGTGACTTGAAATTAACCCTAAAATACAGTTTTCAGATTCTTAGTAAAGCCCTGGGCGTGCTTCAGTATTTCTAGAAATACCGAGAAGCAGTAACCTGGACGCACAGCCTCAGGACTCCAATGGCTCCCTTCGGTAGTGAATTCAACATCCTTTGGAGCAGGTTAAGAGCTAGAACGCTGAAATATAATTCAATCAGATTAAACACTTGTCACAAAGATGTTGCTTTTCTTTAGAGTAAAAATCAGATCAGCACCCTCATTATTTTTTTTGCCAGAACTTTGGAAATTTCTGTTTTGCCTGTAGTCCCTGCTGCCTTCTGTGCATCGTCTGCCTGCTGCCAGGGGAATGTGTAAACACGGTCCTGTCTTCCTCATCACTGACAATTCGTGAACTACTTCACTGCAGGCTAACGTCCAAATTCCTTAGTATAGCTTTCAAGATCCTACATGAGCTTCTTCTCAACATACAGACTCATGTATAAAGACATCCCTAATTCTTTCAGCAAAGTCAGTCATACTTCCTTTGGGCTCTCTGTGCCATCTATTATGTCACTTGTCTCATTTAAGTCTAATCATTTTACGTATCTGTCCACTGGTCTGTGAATCCTTAAGGGAAGAAATCCTAGTTTATTCATTATGGGATTCTAAGTGCGTCTGCTTTTTTCCTCATGCAGTTCCTCTCTCTCCTAGTTCCCTACCTCCTTCCATAGGCAACTTGACAGGTAAAATAATCACAAAATAACAACATAATCACAACAAAAATTATGGTAGTATTTATCTAACCCTTGCTATTATCATGTGTGTTTGCATGGATTAGCTACCTTAATTCTTGTTAATATTATGAAAAAGGTTATTTTTTGTCCCTACAATGCCCTATTTAAGAGACTACTCTTACAGAAGTTGAATAACTTACCCATTATAATAAGTTCATAAGAACACATTTTCATACAATTCATACCTAATATTTGAGGATACTAAAAAGTATTAAATAATTATTTTTATTAAGAATGTGTTTGAAAAAAATTATTAATGAAATCCATGAATAAGTAGAGTAAATACTGTGATGTACAAGCTCTGGCTGGAGAATCTGGAGAATTATTGGACAGAGTTCAGTTTGCAAATCTGTCTGACAACATAATGCATATATAGCGATATAACAAATAGTATAGTTTTGAGTTTGACCCAGCTTTTTTCTTTCTTTATCATCCCTAGTTGTAAGCACAAGATGTACCTGGAAAGACTGCCAAACACCAGCATCATTATCCCATTTCACAATGAAGGTTGGACTTCACTCCTGCGTACCATACACAGTATAATTAACCGAACCCCAGAGAGTCTGATAGCAGAAATCATCCTGGTAGATGACTTCAGTGATAGAGGTAAGATACAGTTAATAATATTTTACCTGATTCTGTTGTCACCTACACAAACATCATGGGCTTAAAAAAGGCAGAAGATTTTCACAGTGCTTCTCTTTGATCCTATCTGAAAGATGTTTATGAACTTTTGTCTATGTCGTGACTTCATAAAATGTTGGCCAAAGGCCAAAGAAACAATAAGAAGTTGTTGCTGCATTTGGGGAACTTTAAGAAATTTGCATTACATCCCCGTTGTAAATTAGACAAGTGTTGGCGAAACGACTCAAATTCTACTTGCAGCTTCAGCGCAAACACTACAAAATATGCTATTGTAAGTACACATGAGTGGCGAAATATTGTAGTACAACTATAAAATCTACGTCTGTTTCTGAAAAGTATCTACTCTATTATTTACAAGTATGACCCATTCTTCAGGCTGTGCTTATGTTATTTCATAAATACTAAGAATTATAGTGAAGTGCAAATATTTTTACATGGCAATTCCAGTTATCATACCTGAACAGTAACAAAAAAAGTAACAAAGACAGGAGAGTAAAATATAGAAAGTTTCCTGAGATTAGAACTTCATTAGTTATATTTGGTCTAAATGTGGGGATAATTGATACTTCAGGAAAAATAATTCTGTCTTTCTTGGCTGGTGTGAATGGAGGGTAGGAAACCTTTTCTAATGATATTTATGTCTTTGAGGGAGGTAAGTTTCTACCTTATATTTCATTTCATGAAGGAGCTCTGCTTAGCAGTGTTGTATATCTGTAAGAAAGAACGGCAATGAAATGGTGTGATTGTATATTATTCTTATGCCTCAGAAGAGGATACATCTTGAAGTAATATGAGTTCATTGAAGTTTGGGAAATTTCATTTGCAGCAGTAACATCATTTTCTTCATAGTATTCAAAAATTCTGTAGAACTGCCTGGCGTGTTAATTTTCAGGTTTCTTTGAGAGCGTTCTGGTCTTCAATGATTCACTGCAAACACTGATTCAGGACCTGCCTGATATTAATATATATGGCTCTGGCTGGCGTGGTACAATTGGCATGGCACAGTTATGACTTGGGGGTAATATAGTAGGAAAAACTTGGGAGCAGACAATTTTGGTTCGTACAACATTTTTTGCTGAATATTTCTCAGAGGTATTTTTTATTGAAAGTCTTTAAAGAGGAAGAAGGTAGTAGCATATACATTTGCCTTGACTTCAAATCACTGTCATCTTTGGTACAGTAGTAACAGATTCCCGACTCTTCTGTACGTAGTGTTACCTGGGAAGTGAGTTCCAGAAAGCTGCCCATGCAATTGACGTTTGTAAAGCAGGACAACAGAAAGGGGGTTATTTGAAATACTTAGGGTGACATTTCCTATGGACATTTTTATGAATAAGTTATTTTAATGCTTTGGTAAGTCTTAGATATTCAATTTCTATGAACTCTCAAGTTAAAAGTATTACTTTATCATCATTACATTTTTAAAGGTTAAATCTTCTTGAATACTGCATTTCATTGAGTTAATATATCAATATATATAAAAGTAAACCCTGAAAGAAATATTTGATAAAAGTGCTTCTATTATATTTTAGAATACATTGTAATTTTCAAGTTGCATGGACTAGGAAAGAGTATCCTTTCAAGTATGTATCCAAGAGATTTTATAATTAGGATTTAGGTGGACATAAGAGATATCACTCCTGCTTTGTGAAAAATGGGGAAGATAAAAAATTAATCTAATCTTAGGTTAGAATCTAATCACTAACTATTAACTGTATGATATTGGATAAATTAAATAACTTTCCTATGTCTTGGATTTTTTTTATCAATATGAGAATAGGTAACCCCTTAGTTATTTCAGTAACTCCTCTTAGGTTATCATGGAGAGCTACCTCAGACGGTTGAGTGCATAGTACACTATACAGGGTAGTAGTCACTCTCAGTTACAAATTTATACTCACAAAATACTCCCCTACTACTATACATAGATAATCTCCTGACTAAGAAGATGCTCTCAATTTAATCAAATGTAGTCTCCAGGAATTTATCTATCTCTCTATCTATCTATTCATCAATCCACCTATCTACTTGTTATCTCCAGATGCAAGAAAAGTCAGGGGGCACGTGAAGACAAATTGTGGAAATTCGTAACTGTTGGAAAAATGAGAACTATATTAACAGTTTTAAAATCTCTAAATTTACCAATAAGTGGGTAATTTACAGCCTGTATTAAAGAAAAATTAAATTTAGACTTTCAGCAAAGGGATGATAAAGCATGTTACATAAAAATTTATGAGTGATCTTACAAGTGTTTATTACTTTCAAAATTATTTTCACCATTACAAGACAAGGATGCTATTCTAAGGCATCTCTTGTTTATAGGGCCTCTAAGAAGAGGAGTTTTTTCTGCTCCTTTTTATTTTTATGTTATCTATAGCCATGCTGTTAAAAAGTATTGTAGTGTATACTATAAGGTATACTTTTTGACACTCCAGAAATCTTAAGCCTTTAATATATAAACTCTCTCACTAATTCTTTAAAAATCAAATTCAATAGGCTAGACAAATTTTAAAGAATGAAAAAATATAGAGAGGTTTTGGTTTCCTTTAGGAGATTATTTATGTAATGCTACACTTTATATTTATTTTTACAAATATATTTCAATTCCAAGTCTGTTCAATATGAGCTATAGCTCTCCTGAATGTTCTGCAATATCCTTTGGCCAAGGGCAACAAATTTCAACAAGACTTAATCGAATATTAAGTTTATAGTTTATGTACTCTATGTCAATAGAATAGCTATACATGAAGAAAGAAAAAAAAAGAAGAATGACTCAACGTTAGCTGTGTTCATAACACAAGGTTAATACCACTTGGAATTCATCATTCCAAAAGTGTAAGCAATGTTGTGATTGAAAAATTCTGGAGTAGCTGGTTTCATAGCAATAGAGAAAAAAAACATGACAATAATTTCACAATTATTGAATAATTATGAACTTTGGAAAGTGATTTTTAAAAATCTGCCTGAGTAGGATTCATCCAGTTATCAAAATGCTTTAGGGAAAAAAAGTGAGCATTTCATCGAGCAATTCTCAATTTAGATATTCTTCCTTGAGCAAGCTTGGTAAACCAGATGTTGTTCCAGCCTCAGAACATAAGCCTACTGTCTATAAATACATGAAGATGCATGCCTGCAGGTGAGTTTTCAACAACAGCACTGTGTTTTCGCTATCTGAAGCTTACCAAAGTTAGTGGATGTGATTATTTTTTTTAGTGAGCTCTCAGAAGTACATTTAACAACTTCACTTGAAGCCTATAACAAGGCTTCATGATGACTTTAAAGCAGGACTAATCCTGGGCTTATCTCCAAATTCCAGGCAACCCTTAAACAGCATCCACATGGAAAATGTCGAAATGTGTGAAATAAGCTGGGACTTAACCTCAGACATAGGATATATTTGAACTTGACAATTCTCTAAACTCTGTATGCCTAGATGAATGTGAGTTCAAATTGAGGATAGTCACAAGAGAGTTGCTGACACACTTCCCTAAAGGCCAGTGTGGAAGTACTACTGAGCACAGGGTACTTCCACACACATGCTCACACACATGCTCACAGGCACGTTCACACCCACTAGTTCATTCACTCTACTGCCCCTGCTTGTTTCAAACTTCCTAGTCAGGAAAGGTAGGTAGTTAAGTATTTGAGTTTCAGAAAGACCAATTAATGTCTAGGTACTAGGTAGAGGGGAAAAATCAGAGAATCGAAACTATCCTCCCAACTTAGCAAAGCGAACAATTTCTAAACATCCAGTTTACTTTTCTGCAGGTGGCATTGTTCACTGCTGCCCATAGTCTTGTCCACAGACCTACAGCACCAGCATCACACTGAAGCTTATTAAAAAGTGCACAATCTCAGTCCCTATCCAGATATCTCAGAATCTGCATTTGAACAGGATTTATATGAAATTTTTACACAAATCAAAGTTTCAGAATAACTGTCATATGTTTCAAAATTGAGTTTATGCATCAATGAGTCATTCAACTACATAAACATCATAACTTCAAAACATGGTTTCTTACATATTGTTATGAAATAAGTGTTTCTATTGTTTAGGGTATAATTAATACTGTATTTATAAATCTGTAAAGGAAGGTCAAGGTAGAATTCCTATAGCATTATCTATATTATTTTATGTATTTTCTATTTATTATTACATTTCTTTGATAGAATTTGTCATACTAATTTGTAGACATTTGCTCTGATTTCTTAGGAAGTCATTTTGTAGCATTTTATGTTTAATTTCAGGCTGCCACCATTTCCATATTTATAGATCTATTTTGCTCTGGAATCATTCAATAATTTTCATGTCAAGTTCAGAAAGAGAAATTTACACACACACATACATATCAAAGCAGTTTCTCTAAAGAGCTATATTATCAAAATCATAGACATGGTCAAGTATTTAAACTTTTAAAATAGTAGGAATTCTTTTAAATCAATTCGCAAATGAAACTGAGTCTTGAATTTCAGGTCCTATTTTACTCAAATAGTCTCTGAGTCTACACTGAGGGAAGTTTTCATAAGCAGACAAATCAGCACAAATTTTACAGCTTTCAGAGTTGGAGGATGTCATCAGTGTAAAAGGTTGTAAAACAGAAGAATGGTAGTGTGTTTTTATTCTATATGATAAAATACCAACACTAAAGTGCACATAAAGATTCTGAGACGGCAGTCAACATAAATACTTTAGTGCTGGGATTTCATCGGATGCTCCACTGGACGGCCAGACGTGCAATTTTTATGTCATGCTTATTGAGAGCTAGTCACTGTAAATAAATCTTGGAATTATTTAGATTTAATATTCATATTTTAAATTATAATTTTAAAATCAAAAGATAATGTTAAATACTAATTAAACTAAGAAAATACAACTGTATACTTTCCTGTTTAAGAATTTAGCATCATCTGCTAAAGAATTGAAAGAAAGCTATTGTATTTTTTAATGATACATTTGTATT